AAGTCTTTTGGTGGAGTTTTTTGGGTCTTTCTGTGTAGCTTATCTGTGAATAATAATTTAACTTCTTCCTTTCCTATCCTTATTCTTTTTATTTCTCTCTCGTTGAATTGCTCTGAGTAATGTAAGAAGCAGAAACCTTAAAGAGATTTTTTTAAACACTTGTTTTGATGAAAAGAGGGCAGTGGCCCTATGCTAAACATTTGCCTAAAAAAGTTATTTTCTGATCTGTAATAGGATAGTTTCAATTCTGACAATATACCTATGCATGCTGTAAATTAAAGAAGCAGTATTAAATGAATATAGCAGGATAATTGAATTCTATGGATAATATAACTCACATACTTTTGGTGTGTGATTTTTAAATATGACTTCAGTGAATATTGATGAACATACTTTATTCAGATTACTCATAATTATTCTAGAATCTTGCCATTTGACTTTTATATATTTTGATAACTTTCTATGAAAATTAGTGGCAGCTATAAATAAGTAAACAAATATTTGACATAAAATAGAGGTCTTTGATTGAACTCTGAATAAGCACTTAATCTTTTAGACTTTTTATCATTTTCAAGAATGCTTTCTATGTGCATATAACTGTAATATTAATAGCTATTGTCTCCTTTGGTCTCAGGTGAACTTATTGAATACATATTGGAATTCTCATGAGGCTATTGGAATTTTGATTTCATGGAATAGAGTTAATCAAGGAAAACCTTAATTATCCTAATGGTTATTCAGTTTTTTCTTCGTAGCTTTCAAAGTGACTTGCCACATTACAAAGAAGGAAGGAAACTTAACAGTTGGTAAACCTGTGACTACAAATTCTGCTTTTGCCCAGTATCATTACATAGGCTGTTGTATCAGTGTTTAAGTCCTCATCCCCAAGGTTTAGCCCTCCTAAGACTTGTGTGGTTGTACTAATTGGAAGTTTATTATCTTTGTGTCTAAGTTTGGTGGGAGCCTTCTTTTTTTGTCGATTTTATAGGAAGCATGGTAGCCTTAGGATCACCAGTATCAGGATATTACTTGGTTAATCTCTTCTGAACAAATAAACAGTTGTAAATGACAAAAACTCAGTGAAAGGACTATGCTAAAGTAACAAAATCAGTCATCTTTTAGTACTGTAATTATAGTTATTACAGAAATAAAACCGTTGAAATGATACAGAACAGTCTAAACGAAATTACTAGTTGCTTTATAAAAAATATGAAGAATTTCCATACTTGATATCATTGAAAGTTGAATCCAGTTTGAACTTTGGGCATTTGTTAAAGTACAAGAAAAATATTAGTGTAGATATATTTCATGGAGTCCTAGAATTGGGAAAACCTTGGAGATGATCTTAGTTCTCCATGTTTTAAATGAGGAAACTGAGAGAGGCTAAGTGATTTGATTAAGGTCACAAATGTGCAGAATTGTGATTTCATTATGGACTTCTTTAAATTGTACCATTGGCTTTGAAGTCAGTATCAATGTAAAGCAAAACTTCCATATGTCTGCTATATTGTTACATTATTTCATTTACTATTTATTTCCAAATTAAGTTTAAGTTTCTCTTCCTTGTTGGTGTATCTTCTTTGTGTTATATTTTGGTTGCTTACTTTGCAGATATACTAGTGATTTTTTTTTTTTTTTACTTAAAACCTTTTTTAGAATGATAAAAAAGGGCCGTCAAATCTGCATCTTTGTATTGTCTATGTATTATCCAGAAGCAGGGAAATAGCATCTGAATTCACTGTACAAGTGTGAAGTAAGGCTTATGTGACACTTGGAAAATGAGTTCCAAGCCAGTCAGAGCTCTGGAAACAAAGGCACATTTACAGACTATTTCCAAAGCTTAGTAAGACACTAGGCACCATCTGGAAGGACACTGTAAGCAAAATTCAAAGCATTTTTTAACCTTTATACAAAAGTATGATGTATTTGGGTTATATTGCCATTATTAAATGATACATGAAAATATATTTCAGTTTTGATGACCATTTCTCAAGAAAAATTAGACAATAGAATAAAAGGAGTAGGAGAGGGTGTTAATGAGAGTGTTCTTAGAAAATTGATGCCTAGTATAATGTGATTTAAATGTGAAGCTATTGTTAAGTGGATAGCTTTTTTTTTTTTAAAAAAGGATCTATTTATAAAATTCAGAAAACACTAAATGACCAGGTATTTTTCAAAGAGATGAAAGGAATCACTATCCCTCCTCCACCCCAGGTGGGGAGCTAATTTAGGGACTCAGTATCCCAACTATCAGGTAAAAATGAAGAATTTAAAAAAGATTAAGTAAACATATGGATGTTTTGTTCATATGAATTAATACACAGAGAGAATGATACTGTTGAAGAGCTTACCTTTAACCTGCTTATCTTTGTAGGTCAAGGAAAATAGTCATTCTTGGGGTGACTCAGAATATTTGACTAAATAGACCGAGATCCTGACTTAGAGTAAAAGGTCTCATGAGTAAAAAACAATCTTTTTTTTATAACTTTTCTTCTTTTCCAGTATAAGGGGAAAGGCATTTTTAGTTGAATAAAGGTGGTGGGTAAAATTATAGAAGTTGAAAGTGTTAGTGTTAGTTTTGAAGGTTATATCAATGCCCACAAATAAGGAGAAAAGTGAACCCTGAAAAAGGTGAGGCTCAGAAACCTAGCAGGAATTTTGTATGAATTCTAGCTTGAATAACTATAAAAGTGTGAATATATTGATACGAGGATGTCCATAATTTTGTAACGATTTGTGAGCAATAAAATAATAAAATTAAAGTTTTAAATTCCTTAGAAATCTGGCACTTAAATTGGTCACAAAGGCTCCTTGACAAAAAAAATTAGAAAAAATTAGAAAAAAAAAGATAATGAAAAACAGATGTCTATTTTGAAAATGTTTCTGAATTACATTCACTGACATCTATTCACAGTTCCACATGAAGAATAAAGTAGGTAGGAAGGAAGTTCTCAAAAACACTGATCTGTTCCTCCAGCATGTCAGCTCCAACTTTATTACTGTCAAGTACATACTGAATCTGCAAGTTTTAAATTCCATTTCCCACTGAAGTAGTTTAGAGGAGTGCAATGCCAAGGCATCTACTTGACTGCTTCTGATGCAGTCCTCCAGTTTTGCCATAGCTGTCTCCTCATCCTAAAGTTTAACATCCAGCAAAAGTCACAAGTTGTGAGGTGACCCACTTCTTGTGTAGTTACTTGTGCAGAGTATTAGTTCTAATATTTAATATTTTGAGTTGCTTTAGAAAAATGAGACTATCAGATAAGAATTACATGGTTCTTTTATAAAAAGATAACTGATCTTTCCTCTGTGTACTGAAAACTGTGACTCCTTAAGCAAGTGGTAATTTTTACCAGTACAAATCGACTGGCCTGAGTGTAGATTAATATTTTTTTTTCCTTAGGACATAATTTCTTCATTACCCCATTTCACCTTACAAGGAAATCTCATAACTAGTTTAACAATGACCGCAGTACTTAGCTTGTATAAAGATTATGCTTTTTCTTGTCTTTCTGAAGAATATTTTCTAGATAATGTACAGTAGTCTTACATCTATGTAGGTATCCATTCAACTAATAATTTACTAACATATAGTAATAGTTAATTAACAATCCTAACATGTACCAAATGCCTCCTGTGTGATACAGGACTAGACATGGTTCAAAACTTACTTTTGGGACAAGTGTGTGAATTTTGACAGTCCACAGAACTAACATGTAGTTATGAACTCACTGAAATGTTCAGTAATTGGGTATGTTTGTATAGTTCCTCAGAGTAAGATAAAGTGGTTATGGTAAGTGCGTGGCAGTTCTTCATTGTTGCCTGCTGAGTGGGTTTATGCTATCCTTACCTTCCTTTTCTTGATGTATTATACTTACATTCGTAGAATTTTAATTCTTTGGCCAATCTGAATTTTCTTAAAGACTAGCATACTATTGATCTCTGTAGATATAATGTTGTGAGGTTTACACAATGTGAGGACTCATGTTTTTATATCTTGTAACAAATTTCTAATTTTTGTTATCAAAAAGTATGAAGTACTTATTTATTTATGGTGCTATACAAATCAAATAGTTCTTCTGAGGATTTAAAAATATAAAAGTACTTAAAGGAATTTCTGTTGATATTTCTGTAATGAATTTATATATCAGAAATTTTTATCAGCCACATCATGTATCAATGGAATTAGATTGGTTGTTTTCACTTGTTGGAGTTCTAGTAAAATACTAGGGATAATTATTATATTCCTAATGAAGATTATAAAAATGGTAAATATTCATAAAATTACTAAATGATTTTTCCACCCATGACCATGAATATACAATTTCTAATGAGCTCTAATCTTTACTCTTTTAGGTATTTAATATGTATGATAGTTCTGTCTGTTAGATGGAACTAATTTTTAAGCTCTTAAATGTCCTAGAAAAATCTAAAGTATATTCACTCAGTTTACTGTCAGTAATATTTCTCTGTGAATGTAACCAGGGAGGAGTAAATTTGGTATGGACCTAGAGCAACAAATTTTAATGCTTGATTTTGGGGTCAAATCATTTTATGTTTTACTTCACAGGAATAAGGATAGGAGGTAAGAATCAATATGCATTTAAATTCTTGAAGAGTTAACCAAATAAAAGTATAAAGAAGCTTATTATGATTTATTTGACGTTCCTAAACCTCCTTCAGGGATTTGTTACACTTATTTATGATGGTTTCTATGTCCTGCCCTTATGTACATTGAAAAGTGTCAGCCTTTCAAAATCATCCAGTTGCAGAATATTACTGTAATTTAGGGGCAGTAATATATTAAAATAGAAGGCAATTGAACATTTCTTTGCTCTTGAGATTTATAAGTGGGAGAAGGACTAGCCTATGGAATGGATCTGAAACAAGGCCTGGATTTAAGCAATTTTAATAATTAAAAGTACACTGAGTCTAATGAGATCTGGCACTTGGTTTTTCTGAAATGGATTACTCACTTTTTTCCTCTCTGCTTCCCATAGGAAACCAGTTTCCTCCAATTGCAGCACAGGACCTCCCTTCTGTTCTAAAGGCTGGCTACCTGGAAAAACGCAGAAAAGGTAAGCTGTAAAATTCTAATGAAAAATATAAGAATGGTTTCACCTGTAGATATACTTGCGGTATACTTGTGGAGCCAGTATTCTTTTTAGATGATGGAAGAGTTTAGAACTGTAAAAAAATCTGGATGACACTTTCTAAAATATAAAACATTTGATTTAGCATTAAATAATTTTTAATAACAAAACAAAACATTGGATTGGACAGTTGCCAGCCTGGGCTCTTTATAAATGATTCAACAGCTGGTTCCTGTATCTTCTAGAAAATCTGTGGGCCATGCCAATGTTCTCAAGGATGGAATTTCTCCCTGTTATCCCACCCTGGTGACTGGCAGGCCATCCTGGCCCTGACCTGGCACGTATCATGTCTGCTGTGGTCACAGCAAGCCTGGCATCTTGTCTGCTATTGTCAGATATTCATTTCACTGTTCCTCTCCATTGACCATGATAATTGAGAGTTGACCAGATGGTCTCACTCTTTCAACACCAAAATCTACTGGAAAGGAAATATGGAGGTGGTGTTAAGATATGGAAAATGAAAAGCAGAAAGTGTCTGCATTACCATTCTGCTTATCTCTCAGGTAGTTTCTTTGGGCCCTTCCATTTATATTTCCTTTCTCTTCTTAGCTTTCTTGGCTGAATTTTAAAGCTGAAAGAGATAGTAGAAATGACATGAATTAGCTCCTCCTCGTCTCTTTTATAACATGAGAAAATGAAGTCCAGATGAATTGTCTTTTTTTAGATGCATTTTTGAAACTATGTCTGTCAGGGAAGTTTGGTAGTTGGGCAACTGAGCTTGACAGGTCTATTTCTGCTTCAGTTTATTCCTTTTAGCTTTATTGGTGGTGGTGGTGGTGGTGGTTGTTTGTCTCTTGGAATAGAAAAACGTAGAGTAGTCACAAAATATTAGAGCTAAAAGCGCCTTAGAAAATTAACTTTTCCTTTTATAATAAAGAAGGTGGCCTTACATTTATATCAGTCATATATGTTACTTTAACTGTTCTTTTCTTCCCTGTGTTACAGATCACAGCTTTCTGGGATTTGAATGGCAGAAACGGTGGTGTGCTCTCAGCAAATCAGTGTTCTACTATTATGGAAGTGATAAAGGTAGTGTTGCTGTTCAGTTATATCAACTATTGCATGAACAATTTTGGCCCATTTTTAATGCCCTCTGACCCTAATTTTTGGGTGCAGAGTAAACTGACCACAAATGGAAAAAAGAACAGAAGAATTTTTAAGTTACAGTCTGAGTAATTTATACTTCTATTTCTGAAATGGATTTCATTATCTGACAAATACTCTGAATTCCAGACTCTGCCTCAAAAGATAACACAGTTGTGTTTTATTGAATTAAAAAAGAGAGTAAAATAATTTTCATCTGTGTGGCCTTTCACCTTAGAAATTATTTATCACCAGGTTACAGTAATAGAACTTGTAGAAAACACTGTAAAGGTGTGAGAAATCTAAAAGCAGAAAGAGAAAATATTTTAAAAGAAAAATCTAGATAATTGTATACAACACTCTTCTGATTCCCCCTTATGGATATAAATAGCAACAGGGAATATGTTTACTGTAGGCTGGACCCTGGCTAAGCACTTTAGCTATCTAAGCATAAGCATGTCAGCTACATTAACCTGTTCAGCTCACAGCAACTTATGACATAGGTACTGTTATTAGCTCCACTTACTTTGCTATTAGGAAAACTGAGGATGGAGAGGTTCAGATTTATTCATAGTCACAGAGTTGGTAAATGTCAGCTCTGTAGGATTTGCCTACAACCTATGCAAAATCTAAGCTTTTCACAGCTATTGTTACTCTAGTGGTTTAGAACACTCAGAATTTTTTTGTAATTTCATTCTTAATTAGATAGGTTCATTTTGTTGTTGTTGTTGCTGGTTTTTTGTTTGTTTTGTTTTGTTTTGTTTCTGGTACCAGGAATTGAACCCATGACCTTGCGCTTGCCAGGCAGGCACTATGCCACTGAGCTAAATCTCCAGCCCCTTCATTCTTAATTAATAAGCCTTTTAGTCATAGTTTGTTTAACTTTTAAGTTTTTTATTTGAAGAAATAAAGACACAAAATAATGAAATCTGAAGCTTGTAACTTCTTAGTTTTGCTGCTTTTTCTCCCTTAGGGAAAGCAGGGCAGAAGTTCAATATCACTACTTTGTATTATCTTTTATCTTGCTCTTTAATTTTGGGTTTCTTATAGAAGAGAAACCATAATATTTAAACTTCTGTGTCTGTTTTATTTCACCTAACATCATGGTCTCCAGGAAAGAGTTGGAAGGAAGGGAAAGGGACAAAAAAGAATTAAGATGTGGTGTGAGCATGTGCAAATTCCCCACTATAAACATAATCATTATGCACTGGAAACATGTACTAATAAAATTGTTTTAAAAAAGAAGTTGAACCTCATAAATTAAGTGTCTTATAGAAATAGATAACCTTTGCTTCCAGAAAGGGCATTGCAAGGAGAAAAAGACATTTAAGCTCAAAATCACTGAGTATAAATTTTCACATGGAATTGTTATTTAACAGTGTTATCTGGAAGTTTGTATTTTATTTGATATTATTTGCAGTTGTATGGTCTTTTCCTTATATATTTTTTTTTTCCTGGTACCGGAAATCGAACTCACAACCTTGCACTTGCCGGGCAGGCACTGTGCTGCTGAGCTAAATCCCCAGCCCCATGGCCTTTTCCTTATAAAATTGAGCAAATGAGAGGAATATATTTCAGATAAATTTAAAATACATAATGCTACAAGTTGATCTCACCCTTTGGCTAATGGGATTAACAAATTAAGACTTTAGTTGCCAGTGTGTATTCTATCACTGATTTATAATATGCTCAAGTATAATAAATGATCATCAGTGAAGTGTAATCTGTAACCAGCTAGAAACAAATGGCCTTCTTTCTTTTGCTAAGGGTAAAAAAATAATTTTGTTAGAAAATTTAGAGTTAAAATTCAGTCATGATTATTATAGACCATAAACTTGTTTTACTACTACATAGAAAGACAATTTTATATAAAATTGTGAATTTTGATCAAGTTTTGCCTTTCCACAAAGAAATATCCTTTTTTCACAAGAAGATGGGAGGGAGATTTCAAATCCTTTGAAATTCTCATTTGGCTTTGAATTCTCACTTCTGATCTCTTTAATAATCAATGATGAGTAGTACTCCATAGTATAAAAAACCCACATCTTCTTTATTCATTCTTTGGTTGATGGACGTTTAGGCTGTTTCTAAGTTTTAGCTATTACAAATTGTGCTGCTGTAAACATGGGTATACATATATTGCTGTTGTATGATGCTCTTAACTGTTTTGGGAAGATACCAAGAAGGGGAACCGCTGGGTTGAATGGAACTTCTAGTTTTAGTTTTTTGAGGAATCTGTACACTACCTTCCACAGTGGTTGCACCAGTCCACACTACCACCAACAGTGGAGAAGGGTTCCTTTTTCCCCACAGCCCAGATAGCATTTGTTAGTGGTTGATTTCTTGATAATAACCTTTCTTTCTGCAGTGAGATGGAATCTCAGCATTGTTTTAATTTGCATCTCTCAAATGACTGGTAACGTTGAACATTTTTTCTTATATGTATTTGCCATTTGTACTTCTTCATCTGAGAAGAGTTTATTCATTTCAGATGCCCATTCTTGGATTGAGTCTTTAAATTTGGGGGATATGATTTTTTGGAGTCCTTTATATATTTTAGATAATAGTCTTTTGTGTGAGAAACAGCTGGCAAAAATTTTTTCCCACTCTGTGAGTTTCCCACTCTGTTGGTGATTTCTTTTGTTGTACAGAAACTTAGTAAGATGAGATCCAAGTTGTTCTTTGTAATATTTCCCATGAGATCGAGGTTTTGTTCATAAAGTCTTTGCCTGTACCTATGTCTTCAAGAGTTCTACCTATTCTTTCTCCCAGTAGATTTAGTGTTTCTATTTTAATATTTAGATATTTGATATATTTTGATTTTAGTTTAGTGCATGGTGAGAGACATATGTCACCCATAAGGAAGGATAAACTTGACACATTTCTAGGTAAATGAATGCACGTTGAGACCATACTGTTAAGTGAAATAAATCGGACACACATGTGTAAATATCCCAGCGTTTCTCTGGTGTGAGAAACTGAAAGTGTAAATAAGGACCAAAATGTATAATAGATATTGTGAAATAGAGGAAAATGCTCAAATGGGAAGGGGAACAAGGGAGAAGGGAGGAGGACAGGGAGGAATGGAAAAGAAAAGAAGACAAGAAAAGAAGGAGAAAATGGAAACAAAGCTTTTGTAAATAAGGAGAGGAAGAGGAGTTGAAGAGCGGGAGGGAAATGGGAAAAAAAGAACTAGGATGTATCATATATAGATACAAATTCCCTGGGATAAATGTGATCATTATGTATATCTAAAATGTACCAAAAAACTTAATTTTAAAAAAAGAAGCAATGATGGGGGAGGGGAAATAAAAAGAATTAAGAAACATGTACCAACTCCCTGTAATAAATGTTATCATTTTGTACTGCAAACATGTACTGATAAAAATAGAAATTTAAATTAGAAACAGAATCAAGGTCAGTGTTTCTATCATTTATAACTGGTATATACCAACAATTAGGTCAAAGGTCAGCAAGACTCTTCCTAAAATTCAAGAAGGATTTACATCTGTGTCAAAGACCAATATTTTATTTCTTCAATATTAGTTAAATTTTTGTTCCTGTTCTTACTTGAGACCTTATGGTGGTAACATTCTTAATAATTTCAATTTAACTACTTTATAATCCACTTAGCCCCCTCAACCACTTTTGCTTTCTAAAAATTAGCATTGTAACATTTTTTATGTTGTTTCTTAAAAGTCTGTCTTTCCTTTCCTTAGAAGTTTTCCTGTCTGTCACTGTGAAGCCTCCTATTTCCAGGATGGTTTCAGGTGACTGTTTTCTCCTTTGGCTTTTTGCTTTGGAATGCTTAGCTTATTTCTCTTTTGAAGACTGAAAAGAAAATCTGCATTTAGACATTTTTAAATGGCTTGTTGGGCATGATCCTGATTTTCTTCCTTTATATATTTTTCTTTCCAGGAAAATGTGTCAAATAAAAGTATTGTTTTCTTTTGTGAAATCGGGTAGCTGGTTTTTAAAGCCTTGGGTTTTTTTTGTATGTGTGAACCGTTTACCCAAACTTTGGGAAGAGCTATTTAGATATATGTGAACTATAATCCTCCAACTAAGTAGTATTTAGATAAATGGATTATAGAGGCACAGAAGGAGTTGATACCACTTACTAGGTTAAACTGTACTTTGTTACTGTTTGACAGATACATAGCTCACAATTTCTCCCTTATGCGTGTGCCAAAAAACATATTGACCTATCAAGATAGTAATGGCTTAGAAAGAGTAGTTCCATCCTCTAGGGTATATAATGCACTTACCTTTGTACCTATAAATATTGTTTGTATTTATTATTCATAGCCATTTGGAGCCCGTAAGTAACAAAATATATAGTACATTTTTATCACTTTATGAAATCACATCCATTCTCTCATCTCCTTCCTTTTCTTGTGATTATCATGGGGCTCATTCATCAGACTTCCTAGATCCTAGATGTTCAGATTCCCATTAAGGCTTTCATTCATTTGCTTATTTATTCTTTCTTGTATTTGGTAAACATTCATTGGTTACTTGGTAGGTAATAGGCACTGGGAATCCAAAGATCCTTGCAGGTGTTCACAGTTGGGTTTGTGTGGGTATTAATGAGAGGAAGAGAGCATGCTATGGGGTCTGATGTGAGGGGCTAGGCAGACAAACATAATTTCAATGCAGTTGCAGTAAGAATTTTTTTTTAAAAAACTTCAGATCACAAAGAAGGGAAAGCTCACCACCTGGGGAGATTAGGGAGGACACCCTGCTGGAGAGAGCACTTTGTTGAATATGGCCTTGAAGCAATGAGTAGGGGTTTGCTGGGTGGATTCTGTAGTTTAAAATGTGTCCTTTCAGAATGTGTATGTTGGAACCTAACTTCTAAGGAGACAGTGTTAGAAAGTGGGGCTTCAAGGAGCTGATTAGGCCATGAGAGCTTTACTCACTTGAATAAGTCCGCTAGGAAAACA